GTGGGATGGTGCACTGTGGGTTGGTGCACTGTGTGTGTGATGGTGCACTGTGGGTTGGTGCACTGTGTGTGGGATGGTGCACTGTTGGGTGGTGCACTGTGTGTGTAATGGTGCACTGTGGTTTGGTGCACTGTGTGTGTGATGGTGCACTGTGGGTTGGTGCGCTGTGGGATGGTGCACTGTGGGTTGGTGCGCTGTGGGATGGTGCACTGTGAGATGGTGCACTGTGTGGGTGATGGTGCACTGTGGATTGGTGCACTGTGTGTGGGATGGTGCACTGTGGGTTGGTGCACTGTGTGTGTGATGGTGCACTGTGGGTTGGTGCGCTGTGGGATGGTGCACTGTGGGTTGGTGCACTGTGTGTGGGATGGTGCACTGTGTGTGTGATGGTGCACTGTGGGTTGGTGCACTGTGTGTGTGATGGTGCACTGTGGGTTGGTGCACTGTGTGTGTGATGGTGCACTGTGGGTTGGTGCACTGTGTGTGGGATGGGGCACTGTGGGTTGGTGCACTGTGGGTTGGTGCACTGTGGGTTGGTGCACTGTGTGTGGGATGGTGCACTGTGTGTGTGATGGTGCACTATGGGTTGGTGCACTGTGTGTGGGATGGTGCACTGTGCGTGTGATGGTGCACTATGGGTTGGTGCACTGTGTGTGGGATGGTGCACTGTGTGTGTGATGGTGCTCTGTGGGTTGGTGCACTGTGTGTGGGATGGTGCACTGTGGGTTGGTGCACTGTGTGTGTGATGGTGCACTGTGGGTTGGTGCGCTGTGGGATGGTGCACTGTGTGTGTGATGGTGCGCTGTGGGATGGTGCATTGTGGGTTGGTGCACTGTGTGTGGGATGGTGCACTGTGGGATGGTGCACTGTGGGTTGGTGCACTGTGCGTGTGATGGTGCACTATGGGTTGGTGCACTGTGTGTGGGATGGTGCACTGTGTGTGTGATGGTGCACTGTGGGTTGGTGCACTGTGTGTGGGATGGTGCACTGTGGGATGGTGCACTGTGTGTGTGATGGTGCACTGTGGGTTGGTGCACTGTGTGTGGGATGGTGCACTGTGGGTTAGTGCACTATGTGTGTGATGGTGCACTGTGGGTTGGTGCACTGTGTGTGTGATGGTGCACTGTGGGTTGGTGCACTGTGTGTGGGATGGTGCACTGTGGGTTGGTGCACTGTGCGTGTGATGGTGCACTATGGGTTGGTGCACTGTGTGTGGGATGGTGCACTGTGTGTGTGATGGTGCACTGTGGGTTGGTGCACTGTGTGTGGGATGGTGCACTGTGGGTTGGTGCACTGTGTGTGTGATGGTGCACTGTGGGTTGGTGCACTGTGCGTGTGATGGTGCACTATGGGTTGGTGCACTGTGTGTGGGATGGTGCACTATGTGTGTGGGATGGTGTACTATGTGTGTGGGATGGTGCACTGTGGGTTGGTGCACTGTGTGTGTGATGGTGCACTGTGGGTTGGTGCACTGTGGGATGGTGCACTGTGTGTGTGATGGTGCACTGTGTGTGGGATGGTGCGCTGTGGGATGGTGCATTGTGTGATGGTGCACTGTGGGTTGGTGCACTGTGTGTGGGATGATGCACTGTGGGTTGGTGCACTGTGTGTGGGATGGTGCACTGTGGGATGGTGCACTGTGGGTTGGTGCACTGTGCGTGTGATGGTGCACTATGGGTTGGTGCACTGTGTGTGGGATGGTGCACTATGTGTGTGATGGTGCACTGTGGGTTGGTGCACTGTGTGTGGGATGGTGCACTGTGGGATGGTGCACTGTGTGTGTGATGGTGGACTGTGGGTTGGTGCACTGTGTGTGGGATGGTGCACTGTGGGTTAGTGCACTATGTGTGTGATGGTGCACTGTGGGTTGGTGCACTGTGTGTGTGATGGTGCACTGTGGGTTGGTGCACTGTGTGTGTGATGGTGCACTGTGGGTTGGTGCGCTGTGGGATGGTGCACTGTGGGTTGGTGCGCTGTGGGATGGTGCACTGTGTGTGTGATGGTGCATTGTGGGTTGGTGCACTGTTTGTGGGATGGTGCACTGTGGGTTGGTGCACTGTGTGTGGGATGGTGCACTATGGGTTGGTGCACTGTGTGTGGGATGTTGCACTGTGGGTTGGTGCACTGTGTGTGTGATGGTGCACTGTGGGTTGGTGCACTGTGTGTGTGATGGTGCACTGTGGGTTGGTGCGCTGTGGGATGGTGCACTGTGCGTGTGATGGTGCACTATGGGTTGGTGCACTGTGTGTGGGATGGTGCACTGTGTGTGTGATGGTGCACTGTGGGTTGGTGCACTGTGTGTGTGATGGTGCACTGTGGGTTGGTGCACTGTGTGTGTGATGGTGCACTGTGGGTTGGTGCACTGTGTGTGTGATGGTGCACTGTGGGTTGGTGCGCTGTGGGATGGTGCACTGTGGGTTGGTGCGCTGTGGGATGGTGCACTGTGAGATGGTGCACTGTGTGGGTTATGGTGCACTGTGGATTGGTGCACTGTGTGTGGGATGGTGCACTGTGGGTTGGTGCACTGTGTGTGTGATGGTGCACTGTGGGTTGGTGCGCTGTGGGATGGTGCACTGTGTGTGTGATGGTGCACTGTGGGTTGGTGCAGTGTGTGTGGGATGGTACACTGTGGGATGGTGTACTGTGGGTTGGTGCACTGTGTGTGGGATGGTGCACTGTGTGTGTGATGGTGCACTGTGGGTTGGTGCGCTGTGGGATGGTGTACTGTGGGTTGGTGCGCTGTGGGATGGTGCGCTGTGGGTTGGTGCGGATGAACCAGTGGCGCGAGATGGCATGAGCGGCATGTGTTTTGAGTCAGCTCTAGAGTGATTTTTTCCAGGCGTGTTGTTGCAATTCATCGCGTGGAATTCCATGTGTCCGTCTCATTATGCATTCAGTCTCTGTGTCTCGTGATGCACTTGGCGTGCGCTGATGCTCATGTGACAGCTGCTGCAGTCATGGGGCATTGCATGCCGTGCTATGCTGTAACGGTGCTGTATTCAATCTCGCTAGGCAGGAGTCTTCAACTCGGGTGGAGATAGAATCGTGGTGTCATTAATTTCACATCCGTGCACTTCTTTCTTAGCATGTGTTTCTCGGTAAGGGGAGAGGGAGGGGAGGCCACTAAAGGCGAGAATCACATGGGCCTTCTCTCCCTCGTGGCGTCATCACATCCCTCCTCTCTCTCGTGGCGACATCACGTCCCTGCACCTCTCAGCATGTTTTTCTACCCAAGGGGTGATTTTTACCTTTTGCGGCCTCCTCTCCCTCCTGGTGCCACTCATTCCCTTCCCATCTCCCCCCTCTCAGGCTATCTGTGCATGCGATGCATCACTACAAACCAAATGACTGCACCACGAGGGAAGGAAGGGTAAGCCATGCCATGCTGTGCTGTGCCGTGCCATGCTGTGACATGCCATGCCATGCCATGGCCCAGGGGCCATGCTGCCATGTGGAGCTTGTCGTGCTTGGAGTCAGCTTTACTTGTCCGAATTCTTCGGTTCTGCACTGCACCTTTTTACGTCACTGATAAGTAGCACACTACCGACCCCCACTGGCTATAAGGACTACCATATCACGTTGGCCGACGATTGCCCAGGAAGGGACCCGGGCTGCTGGTGAGCGTTGGAAAAGCCCATGAGACATGATGATATCACCATTTGTTCTCACCCCACCTTACTTGTTTTGTCTTCTGCATTTTCGTCGCCTGTTACCCATGCGATAGCCATTTTGTTGAGCTCGTTATCCCACATGTCCCATATACACTGTATCATGTCGCTACTAGCCAGCACTGATGGCAGCGTGCCATGGAGAATTCTGGACTCACAATCTGGTGTGTGGTTCAACAGCAGACACAAGGCACGAAAGTTCCGGATTCAGCCAATCAAGCAAGCCCGGCATCTCTGTACAGGTATGACGCTAGCTGTGTATAGGTACGTATCTTGGGTGGCTTTTGAGTCGACTCAAAAGCTAGTTGTGTGCGGGTACGTGCCCTTTTGTCCAGCACTGATGGCGGTGTGGCATGGAACATTCAAGACTCGCAATCTAGTGTGCGGTTCAATAGCATGCATCAAGCTAAAGTGTTTCCGATCAGGCCAGCCAAGCAAGCCCCGACATCTCTGTGCAGATATGGGATTATAGTAATGGCTCAAATATGTACGTATTTCTCTTTGTAGCCTTGGACTTTACGGTTGTACGCTTCTCCACAGGGTTGCACAGTTTTGTCTACCTTGTGCCACTAGGTCGCACCTCTTTCCAGTTGAGCCATTCTTCTTTGCATCTGCTCATTCGTGTTTGGCCAATGCTGATCCTCATCGAGCATTTCTTGCTGGCTTAACCTTGTCCGTTTTGAGTTGGCAGGGCTGGTTTTAAAACTCTTTGGCTGTGACTGCACAGCCAGGTTAAGATAGCATCACCTGAGTTCATGCTCACAGCTCCTTCTACCCCTCCTCTTCCCCCCTCCAGCTCCTTGTCATGTAAGCTTGTGATCTCAGCTGTGCAAGACCCATCCTGAAGCTGCCTTCACTCGCCTGCTTTGACCCGTCCACATAATGGAGATGCACCCAGTCCACATAATGGAGATGCACCCACAACAGGGGGGGCTGTGGATGGCAAGAGAGAAGCTGCCAGTGATGAAGGGGAATCACAATCCTCGGCAATCAAGCCACCATCAACAGTGGTTACGGCAGCAGCTGCTGTGCCGTGGCAGTGAGTGATGAGTTTCAACTGCTGGTGATGGAGGAGAGGAGATGCACCCACAACAGGGGGGGCTGTGGATGGCAAGAGAGAAGCTGCCAGTGATGAAGGGGAATCACAATCCTCGGCAATCAAGCCACCATCAACAGTGGTTACGGCAGCAGCTGCTGTGCCGTGGCAGTGAGTGATGAGTTTCAACTGCTGGTGATGGAGGAGAAGGTTCCTGCCAATGAGGCTACTGGGTGAGCTTTGAAACGCGCGCAAGAGGGATTGAGCCAAGGCATGCCATGAGCAGGCTGTGAGAAAGTACTTCAATGTCGCAAGCAGAACGAGAACAACAGAGCCTAATGATACCACGACTTGGTAGCAAAATCTGGGTTCAAACATGCTTCCATACTGGCTAGGTGTGTAAGTGATGAGCGAACCAGCATATTCTGCTACATCACATTATCCGTACAATGATTTACTGTGGGATGGAGTCCAAGCAAACTTCACTTGATCCATGCCAAAGCTCAGTCAGCAGTGGTTCCTGTTTGATGTACACCCCCATCATGAAATGGACATGGTCCAATGCAGTGCAGTTCAATCATTTATAAACACCAGCACAACCCTCTTATGGTAGCCCTTCGTGCAGAGATTGATGTCACCATGCTCATTAAAATTCCAGCATCACTTGTGTGGGATTTCAAACATCCTTGGTGTCCGCATCTTCAGCTTCTCCAGCATTGTTGGTCCTTTGCTGGGATTATCCCTCGGAGACACAGTCGACGAATGTCCACCAACTTCAACTTTAGCCAAACACTCCTTCATAGCTGCAGCCTTCATCTCTGCCTCCTCTTTCTTCCGTTTAGCATCCTTGACTTCGGCACATAGCTCTTCGCGCAACTCCTTTTCATGGGACAACTGCTCTTGTAAATTCCTCCGCTCAGCATGGAGATCTTCGATCGTGCTCTTGCAATCAGAATGTTCAAGGACCTGCACAGATAAAAATGTAGGTCAGAAGTTGACATACAACAGAGCAAAGAAACAGCGGGTTTACCTTCTCAGAGAGATTCTGCAGTGCAGACTGAAGAGAGGCGTTCTCAACCTTCAGAGCTTCAATGTCCAATTTTGATGAAGGCTGTAGCTCGTTCTCTGACGCCTCTGTGCTCCCCTCCTCTTCCTCACCAGCTTCACCTGTGGACCCAGGAGGAGGTTCTGCTGCGGACATTCTTGTATGGGAGACAATGCCCTCTGAAGCTCGTGATGTCCTCACTGACCTTCCCACCTCAGCTGCCGACATGAGACTCTTGATCACCTCCTTGGACTCATCTATCTGCTGCTCCTGCGCTTTCACCAACTGCCTGAGCCTCAGAATTTCTTCAGGTTGAGAGCTCACTCCAGCATTCTGGCCCAACAGCTCGTCAGGCACTGCAGCACCGTTGTCATCGACACCAATGGAGTTTGTGCTCAGGTTGTGTATCTCACAGGCCTTCACCGTCTCAGTCTCTTCAGAAGCCTTCACCTGCTGTGTATTTTCTGATCCTTGCTCCCCAGACACCAGACCATTATTTTTCTTATGAAGACGATCCAGTGCATCAGCAAGCTTTTTCTCCAACTCCTTTGTTCTGGCCTGAACTGCACCAAGCTTCGTCTCCAGTTCATGCACCTTGCCCTCTTCCGCCAAAGCCTTGATCTCAGCTCGAGCCCGCTTCTTCGCCTCATCTCCACTTCTGAGCTCTGCCAAAGATCGCTTCTTTACTTCCTCCTGAAGCTTGGCCTGGAACTCCCTTCTCATCTTCTCCTCCTCCTTTCTGAGCTTCAATTCTTGGCGATTGAATGCTTCCATCTTACGGCACTTCTCGGCTTCTTCCTTCAATTTCTGCTCCAACTCCGATCGCTTCTTTTCTGACACCTCAAGCTTCAAGGTCATCCCCTTCAGAACCTCCTGATCAGCCTTAACTTTGGCGTTGTACTCCTTGTGTGTTTTCTCGACCTCATTGAACGCCACTTCAAGCTTCATCCGTTTCTCTTCTTCTTCCTTTGCCTTAACTTCTGCCATGCGTTTCAGATGCGCAGCCTCATGCAGCTGGCACTCCACCAGCTCCAGCCTCCGCTGATGTTCAATGACTTTCTTCTCAGCATTGATCCGGAGAGTCCTCTCCGAGTCAAGCTGGCTTTCCATCTCTTGTCTCATCTGTTCCCCTTCACTTGCAGTGTGCATAGCGTCAGCCATTTGCTTTTCAAGAACCCTCTTCCGTAAGTCTGCTTCCTTCCTTTTCTTCTCCTCATCCAAGGCTCTTGCCTCAGCCTCCTTCCTCTTGTGTACTTCAGTGACAAACTTCGCCTCAACTTCAAGTCTCTTCTTTTCTTCAACAGCAGCCTTCTTCTGTGCCTCTTGTAGAGATAATTCAAGTTTTTCAATCTTGTCTGATGCTTCGCGAACAGCAATCTCGTCATATGCTTTTCCCACAGAATTCTCAGCACGCTTCATTATCTCCACTTGGCTTATAGTTCCTTGTATGGCAGCAGATACCTGGAATAGTAGGAAATGTCATGAACAACGGTTGACAGGCAATGAATATTGACAAACAAACCTGACTCGAGCGCCTTGATCCAAGGTAACGTTGAAACATTTGGACGACATCATGGCGTTTATTGGACTCTGCAATTTGCAAGGGCGTCTTTCCATCCTGCAATGGCCAGATTTTCGGTTTCAGTCGAACTAACAGTGGCTTTCTTGGTTGCTGAATCTCACCTTCGTCTTTGCAGTCTTGTCAGCTCCCCTTTGCAGCAGAACCTGTGCGAGCTCGACTGTCCCGAATGCTGCTGCGCAGTGTAACGGCGTGAAGAATTTCTGCACCGAACTTGGTCATTCAGTTAAGAACCCGAAGAGATGTCCTTTCATTGGACGCGCGAAGGGATGTCGCACGACCCATCACGAAATACCTGATCACGTGCGTCGTGATTGGCTCCGGATTCTAGCAGCATAATGACTTCCACTATTCGTCCAAGCATTGCTCCCAGATGGAGAGGCGTTTGACCTTCCTGTAGTTGGAGTCAGACTGACTTCACCAAACTGGATAGATTGCATTCGAAAATAAAAAGAACCGAACCTTGTCCCTTGCATCTTTGTCAACGGAATGATCGAGAAGACGTTTAACCGCTCCTGTCCCACCTCCCCAAACGGCGTGATGGAGAGCAGTCCATTGACCCTGGTACATACGAAGAGCAACTTTCACGATTTGTCCATGTGGGAAATCAGGAACATGGTTAACATTGCGCGCTACGAACCCAAGTATCACGAGCTTCGGCCTTAGCGCCTTTGTTAAGAAGGACGTCTACAATACGTTCATGACCTAGCCGTGCAGCGACGTGGAGAGGCGTTTGACCTTCCTGAGATTCGGAAAGGTTTGACATTATTCAAGCTTGAAGGTTTTTCAAGAAATGATGAAATAAAGCTAGCTGACTTACAGCGTCTCTCGCTTCAATGTCAACTCCCTTATCCAAAATCTTCAGCACTTCAGTGAAATTTCCCTCACGGATAACTTTGTGCAACAGACGTGATCCTGGAAAAAAAATGGCTTCTGTGAATTCGACTGGAACAACACGTATCCAAAACGTGTCTCTAACAACCCACCCTCCATGGTTGGCCAGGAATCGTTCTCCAACACGTCTAAGACTGAGGTGCTGAATCAGGAGTGAGAAGAACGATGTGAGCTGTATTATGGTTCCCAGCTGGTGCTTGAGCGCTTGGGCTCTTGAAACAAGCCTGTCGGCTGACGTTGATCCAAGAGTTGAGAAAGCCTTTGAAATGCAGCGGGCAGGTGACCCGATGGGCAATTCCCCACGAACTGACGAGTGGCGAAATAAGGTAGTCGATCCCGTCGCGAGCCGTTTTCGTACAGCTGTCTCGCACCCATTCCGGTATGTCTCCCTTTCGCCACCACACCAACTGTGCTTGCGCGGTTTCGTAGGCAGGCAAGAGCTACCCAGAATGTTACACAGTAAAGACCAGAAAACTCGCCAAGGTAACTTCAAACAAACTCGAGCCGAACTCAATTCGTGCCGCAAACGAACCGAACGAGACCATGTGGATTTCGAGGCTGAATCCTTTACATCAGATTCAATGGATTTGACGGCGGGGATTGATTCAAATTTGGGTGTTAGGAGGAACCCATTAGCTAAACGTGTGACAACGGAATCTGACAATGTGCTTCACACCTCATTCACCTTGCGTGCCAATCAGAATGCATGCAGGAACCTCTCGAACCAGGTCGAACCAGTGCGAACCTAACGACCCTAGCAGTTTTCTGACACCAGGTGCAAGATTACCGCCTAATGTCTTCCATGACACCAGCGAGGAATGATACCAGATACGAGTACACCATCACTTGGAGGAGAGCATCGCAGGCCAGCAAGTATAGGCTCTGTTGAGTCGAGCCATGAATGACTGGAGCATCAGGGACTGCTCAGACCGATACTACCAGACAGTGTAGCTCCTTGGCATCTATAGCTTCATCGTGTATCCCTCATGTCACCGTTCCTCGACTTCCCTCCGAATCAACGGCGTCGCCTCCACCGCCCTCTAGTAGTAAGCCACCATCCATGACCCACCCCTCCCTTTCCTCCACGCACTCCGTGGGTCGAGCTTTACACTCGTTTGGTGTGCTCATTCCAGCCAGCTACAAGCGGTACTGAATACCTAGTACAGAAGTGCTTGTCGTCGCAGGCCGCTCTCTCAGCGCCTAGAGACTCGACCGGAAGAACGGCGCGTTGCCAAAGGCAGCAATGCCTCGTCAAGTCGTGGTCCGACCGTCTGCGCCCACTAGGCTGGCGCAAAACGGGACAGCGCGGAACAGGGCAGCGCGGGGCGGGGCATGGCGGAACCGGGCAGCGCGGATCAACCATCTGCCGGACGAGCTGCTCTCGACGATCCTCTCGCTCGCCGCATTGCGCGCCGAAGATGACGCTCCGGTCGACGCCGCGAGTGATGACGTCACCCGCGGCATCATCGTGCTGTCGACGCGCCCGCCCCTGGCCGACGACCTTGGCGTCGTCAGCGCGTTCGGCGCCCTCGCGCTGACCTGCAAAGCAATGGCTGCGCCTCATGCCCACCATCCGCGTTTCTGCTGCTCGCCGCGCGCCAAGCTCCTGGATCACCCTCGCTGCTCTCTCGCGCTCCCTCCCCGCGCTCTCCGCGCCTGCGCTCCTCCGCACGCTCACCCGCGCGCCCGGCGCCACCAGCGTCTCTCTCGCGCGCCACGCGCTCGACTTCGTCGACGACGGGTTCCTCGCCGCGCTGCTCTCCGCCTGCCCGCGCCTCGCCCGCCTCACCCTCTGCGACCCGCGCTTCACCGCGCCGTTCTTCCGAATCGGGCTCCGCTCGCTTGACAAGCTCTTCCGCGCCGCAGCGCCGCGCCTGCAGGAGCTCACGCTCTCGCACTGCCTCGCGCAAATGACGAAGCTTCCTGGGTCCATCTCAATGCTGTCAGTTCTGTGCGTGCTTCGGTTGGAGTCAAAGGCTCTCCGCGTGCTGCCGGGCGCGACCTGCCAGCTGTCTGCGCTCCAGGAGTTTTACTTGAGCTGCCCGCTGCCAGCACCTGCCCGAAGATTTAGGGCAGCTAAAAGCCCTCACCCACCTGTTGTTTTCGGGGTGCAAGGAAATGCAGCTCCTTCCCGAGTCCCTGGGCGGCCTCTCGTCGCTCACGGCTCTCAGCATGACGGCACGTGGCAGGTGGATCGCTACCCGAATGGCCTCGGCGCGCTGCAGCACATGCGGCGGCTGGAGCTGCGGAACTTCCATGGCGAGATGCCAGGCGCTCGAGCAGTGGCCGGCACTGGAGGTGGTCACACTGGCCAAGTGCCAGAACGTGCGCAGCTTCCAGCCCACCGGCGTTGAGTCGCTCACCCACCTCTCCATCGCTGACTGCTACGCCCTCGAATCCCCTCCCCCTCGCCCTCACTCGCGCCTCCGCCCTGCGCCACCTCACCATCGACACCATCAAGGCTGACGTGTCGCTGCAGGCGCTGAGCGGGCTGGTGGCGCTGCGGCGGCTGGAGGTGGCGGGCATGGGGAGCACGGAGCCCTTCCCCGAGGGCCTCTTCGCCCTGCCGTGCCTGACGCACGTGAGCGTGGGGCGCGTCAAGTGGGTGGATCTCGAGTCCGAGCATGTGCCAGGGCACGAGCTGGTGGGCAGCAAGGGACACCTGGCGCAGCCCCACCCCTCTGAAGCCGCTGCTGTCACCGCCGCTGCTGCTGCTGCAGGGGCTGGTGGTGTGGCACACCGCTGGTCGGCCCTGGGCTCGTCCCTGCGGCACCTGGACCTCACCATGATCCACCTCCCTCATGCCTCCCCAGGCGGCCGTCTCTCCCCGCTCCTCTCCTCTCTGCTCCTTCTCACCCACCTGCACCCCTCCACAGTCCTCCCTACCGGCTTCGGCCGGCTGCCCAACCTTTGCTCCCTCTCGCTCTCCGGCTGGTTCTGTCTCTCGCTCCTCCCGGACTCGCTGTCCCTCCTCGCCCCATCGCTCCTCTCGCTCTCCCTATGCCACACCGATCGATCGCCCTGCCCTGAGCCCCCCACTGGCACCGGCGATGCCAGCAGGGCCAGGCTTCACGCCTCCACCTTCATCACTCACCTCACCACCCTCACGGACCTGTGCCTGACCAGCATAGCCCTGCCCCACGCCACCTCCTCCGCCCTCACCCGCCTCTCCGCCCAGCGCTCCCTGCGCCTTGACTCCACCTCGCTCTCCTCGCTCCCTGACAACCTGGGCCAGCTGGCAGCTGGAGTGGCTGGAGCTGAAGAACTGCTTGCGGCTGGGCAGGCTGCCGCCATCGCTGTCTGAGCTGGGATGCCTGCGCAAGCTGCACCTTCACGGCTATGGCTTGCAGCAGCTGCCTGTGGGGATCTTCAAGCTCTCTCGCCTGGAAGGCCTGACTCTTCGGTGCCCCAACATCGGGCGCCTGCCGTACGGGTTGGGTTACCTGGGCGCGCTCAAGAAGCTCACTGTCTGGGCCGTCCGAGGGGCGTTCCTTCCCGGCACTCTCGATGGGCTGATCTCGCTGGAAGAGGCATGTCTTTCTGAGAACTACGACCTCCACCACCTGCCGCCCTCCTTCTGCCACCTCCCGCGCCTCCACACGCTCACCATCACCAAATACCACGAGCTAGCCACCCTCCCCCCCGCATTCGGCTCCCTGCCTTGCCTGAAGCGCCTCTCCATCGACTCCTGCAGATATTTCCACCGCTTGCCCGACTCCTTCACATCCCTCTCTTCCCTCGTCCCCCTCACCATCGCTTACTGCCCCAGATTTTCCACCCTCCCTGAAACCTTTGGCTCCCTGCCCCGACTAGCCCGGATCAGAATCACCAACTGCAACTCAGTCACCGACCTGCCCACCTCCTTCCCCTCCCTGCCTTCCCTCCGCGTGGCCTGCTTCACCCACTGCAAGCACCTCAGCTGGCTCCCCACCGACCTGGGCCTGCTGCCCCGCCTGGAGGTGCTGCAGCTGCGCGAATGCCCCAAGGTGAGGTGGCTGCCAGAATCGCTAGGCCAGGCCAAGGCTTTAAGGCACGTGGATGTGTATGGGAGTGGGGTGGAGGAGGAGGGGGAGGAGGTGGGGGTTTGTGGGAAAAAAATGCATGTGGTGAAGGGGAGGAGCGGCAGGGCTGATTACGTGGGCACGATGGAGAGGGGGATGAGGGAGAGGCTGAGGAGGTGAGGAAGGTGAGGAGGTGAGGAGGTGAGGAGGAGGTGAGGAGGCGCAGGGAATGTGGACGAGGGGGGGAACTGATTACTGGTTGCTAAGCCAACCCATGGCCACCAATGGTGAAACGGTGAATTGAAAGAACACCATCCATCGCGTGGCCCGCAGGCAAACCATGCATTTGACGTCAACCCCTTGTCCTGCTGTTTCTCAGCGGAATGTCCTCATACTCGTAGGAAAGTTTCTTGGCGGTACTTCAGCATTGAAGCATTTCGTTACTGGTAGTTCACCAAACCAATCTTGCAGCCTAGAAACACATGTTGCAGAGACCGAGTTGTCATAAAGTCACCAGTCCTAAAACACTGGGATGTGCTTAGGAGGGTTACGCTCCATATATCCTCCTTCCCCAGGGAAAGCCTCCCTTGTACCCTCCCTAGAGAGAGAAGCTGTTCGACAGGGCTATCCTAGTGGCACAACACAGCCCCCCCAGAGTCCTAAATAGCAGACTTTTTTTTGTTAGATTGTCTGATTTTCAGACTGGTTTTTAGGGGTTTCTGTTATGAAGCTAGGTTAGCTAGGAAGGTAGGCGGCCATGAAATGGCGAGAGGTTTAGGAGCTAGAAGAGAAAGTTACAAGAGAAAAGAGAGTGATACTAGGAAGAGAGGCATACAAGGAGGGAGTTGTACCCTCTACAGTAAAGTTTGGTAACCTACCAAGCCTACCAATTGTATGACACAATATATTATTTAAAGCCCGTGGCTAAAATAGCATTCAAAACAAGCTATTAATTTCCACTTGAAAGTGATGCCATCCTACTTTGTAGCTTGTGGAACTCAAACATAGATTCAGATTTAGGATCAAACCAGAAAGTGGCGAAACGACTTGCGCGTCAAAAAGCTGACCGGAAACGTGCATGCGACCTACGCTGCGACTGTAAAAGTTGCACAAGTGAGATGGCGGGAAAACAAAACACTCGCACGCAGCTTGCTCAACCCAGCTGAATGTACCAGTAGAGCAACCCACAGCACACACAATCGTGTCGCCCTAGAGCAAGCGAACCTTACGCAACTCGAACGCACTGTGGGTGCACCGGGACGTCATCAGCGACCTTAGCGGCGGTAACACAATAGACAGACGCGCATAGGCGGGCACGTATGTAGCCACATTGTGACCAAGGCAGGGAGACGCGCAATAGCAGGGAGACGCGCAAATGCAGGGTGACTCGCTAAGGCAGGGAGACGCGCTAAGGCAGGGATACGCGCTAAGGTAGGGAGACGCGCCAAGGCAGGGAGACACGCTATGGCAGGGAGACTCGCTATGGCAGGGATACGCGCTAAGGCAGGGAGACGCGCTAAGGCAGGGAGACGCGCTAAGGCAGGGAGACGCGCCAAGGCAGGGAGACGCGCTAAGGCAGGGAGACGCGCTAAGGCAGGGAGACGCGCTAAGGCAGGGAGACGCGCCCAGGCAGGGAGACGCGCTAAGGCAGGGAGACGCGCTAAGGCAGGGAGACGCGCTAAGGCAGGTATACGCGCTAAGGCAGGGAGACGCGCTAAGGCAGGGAGACGCGCTAAGGCAGGGATACGCGCTAAGGCAGGGAGACGCGCCAATGCAGGGAGATCCGCTACGGCAGGGAGACATACTCATGTCTCCGTTCCCAACCCAGGGACTGGACCACGTCTCTGCAGTCCCGGGGATCCCATTATCTCACAGACCACCCCCCCCGCCCCTCCGCCCCCCCTCCCCCCCCCATCTCGCCCTCACTCAGCCCTCTCGAATGCCGAGATGACCTCAAAATTGCAACCCTACTAACACCCACACAGCCCCGCACCCATCCTCCCCTCCTCGCGACAACCCAAACCCCCACCCCCCCCCCTCCATCCATGCCATGCCCTGCCCTGCCCTGCCCTGCCCTGCCCTGCCCTGCCCTGCCCCGTCCTGCCCTGCCCTGTCCTGCCCTGTCCTGCCATGCCCTGCCCTGCCCTGCCCTGCCCTGCCCTGCCCTGCCCTGTCCTGCCCCGTCCTGCCCTGCCCTGTCCTGCCCCGTCCTGCCCTGCCCTGTCCTGCCCCGTCCTGCCATGCCCTGCCCTGCCCTGTCCTGCCCTGCCCTGTCCTGCCCTGTCCTGCCCTGCCCTGCCCTGCCCTGCCCTGCCCTGCCCTGCCCTGCCCTGCCCTGCTCTGCCCTGCCCCGTCCTGCCCCGTCCTGCCATGCCCTGCCCTGCCCTGTCCTGTCCTGCCCTGCCCTGTCCTGCCCCGTCCTGCCCTGCCCTGTCCTGCCCCGTCCTGCCCTGCCCTGTCCTGCCCCGTCCTGCCATGCCCTGCCCTGCCCTGTCCTGCCCTGCCCTGCCCTGTCCTGCCCTGCCCTGCCCTGCCCTGCCCTGCCCTGCCCCGTCCTGCCCTGCCCTGTCCTGCCCCGTCCTGCCATGCCCTGCCCTGCCCCGTCCTGCCCTGCCCTGTCCTGCCCCGTCCTGCCCTGCCCTGTCCTGCCCCGTCCTGCCATGCCCTGCCCTGTCCTGCCCTGCCCTGCCCTGCCCCGTCCTGCCCTGCCCTGTCCTGCCCCGTCCTGCCATGCCCTGCCCTGCCCTGTCCTGTCCTGCCCCGTCCTGCCCTGCCCTGTCCTGCCCCGTCCTGCCCTGCCCTGTCCTGCCCCGTCCTGCCATGCCCTGCCCTGCCCTGTCCTGCCCTGCCCTGTCCTGCCCTGTCCTGTCCTGCCCTGCCCTGTCCTGCCCTGTCCTGCCCTGCCCTGCCCTGCCCTGCCCTGCCCTGCCCTGCCCCGTCCTGCCCTGCCCTGTCCTGCCCCGTCCTGCCATGCCCTGCCCTGCCCCGTCCTGCCCTGCCCTGTCCTGTCCTGCCCTGCCCTGTCCTGCCCTGCCCTGTCCTGCCCTGTCCTGCCCTGTCCTGCCCTGCCCTGCCCTGCCCTGCCCTGCCCTGCCCCGTCCTGCCCTGCCCTGTCCTGCCCCGTCCTGCCCTGCCCTGTCCTGCCCCGTCCTGCCCTGCCCTGTCCTGCCCCGTCCTGCCCTGCCCTGTCCTGCCCCGTCCTGCCCTGTCCTGCCCCGTCCTGCCATGCCCTGCCCTGTCCTGCCCTGCCCTGTCCTGCCCTGTCCTGCCCTGCCCTGCCCTGCCCCGTCCTGCCATGCCCTGCCCTGCCCTGTCCTGTCCTGCCCTGCCCTGTCCTGCCCCGTCCTGCCCTGCCCTGTCCTGCCCCGTCTGCCCTGTCCTGCCCCGTCCTGCCATGCCCTGCCCTGTCCTGTCCTGCCCTGCCCTGTCCTGCCCTGTCCTGCCCTGTCCTGCCCTGCCCTGCCCTGCCCTGCCCTGCCCTGCCCTGCCCCGTCCTGCCCTGCCCTGTCCTGCCCCGTCCTGCCATGCCCTGCCCTGCCCTGTCCTGTCCTGCCCTGCCCTGTCCTGCCCCGTCCTGCCCTGCCCTGTCCTGCCCCGTCCTGCCCTGCCCTGTCCTGCCCCGTCCTGCCCTGCCCTGTCCTGCCCCGTCCTGCCATGCCCTGCCCTGCCCTGTCCTGCCCTGCCCTGTCCTGCCCTGTCCTGCCCTGCCCTGTCCTGCCCTGTCCTGCCCTGCCCTGCCCTGCCCTGCCCTGCCCTGCCCTGCCCTGCCCTGCCCTGCCCTGCCCCGTCCAGCCCTGCCCTGCCCTGCCCTGTCCTGCCCCGTCCTGCCATGCCCTGCCCTGTCCTGCCCTGTCCTGCCCTGTCCTGCCCTGCCCTGTCCTGCCCTGTCCTGCCCTGCCCTGCCCTGCCCTGCCCTGTCCTGCCCTGCCCTGTCCTGCCCTGCCCTGCCCTGTCCTGCCCTGCCCTGCCCTGCCCTGCCCTGCCCTGCCCTGTCCTGCCCCATCCTGCCCTGCCCTGTCCTGCCCCGTCCTGTCATGTCCTGCCCTGCCCTGCCCTGCCCTGTCCTGCCCTGCCCTGTCCTGCCCTGCCCTGTCCTGCCCTGCCCTGTCCTGCCCTGCCCTGCCCTGTCCTGCCCTGCCCTGCCCTGCCCTGCCCTGCCCTGTCCTGCCCCGTCCTGCCCTGCCCTGTCCTGCCCCGTCCTGCCATGCCCTGCCCTGCCCTGTCCTGCCCTGCCGTGTCCTGTCCCGCCCTGTCCTGCCCTGCCCTGTCCTGCCCTGCCCTGCCCTGTCCTGCCCTGCCCTGCCCTGCCCTGCCCTGCCCTGTCCTGCCCTGTCCTGCCCTGCCCTGTCCTGCCCTGTCCTGCCCTGCCCCGTCCTGTCCTGTACTGCCCTGCCCTGCCTTGCCCTGTCCTGCCTTGCCGTGTCCTGTCCCGCCCTGTCCTGCCCTGCCCTGCCCTGCACTAACACCATCAGAGATTGACTTTGAGATGCAATCACTTGATTAGGCAACGCTCTATGAACGCTACCGGTATGTGACAGCATATTCCAGGATTCAGGGGCATATCCCTAGGTTGCAGATGTGTCTGTGGAAAAAAATGCAAACACCAAGTTGCAAGCACTAATATGCATAGTGACAATTACACAAGGACTGTTGAATGCCATGCACCAAAGAACAGTAGGTGAGAGGAGAGATCTGCCATCATAGCCCTCATAAATCTCAAGTGTCACCCTTCGCTTCGCCGTCACGTCAAGGGCGGCATGATAGGACGGGCACTCCATGTGCCGACTTGCAAGCAAGGCCCTGCTCGTCGCAAAACCAGAGGACTGCACTTTCCAGGGGAACATCGTTCTTGAGCCTTGCCACGGCGTGCAGTGTTATCTACCAGACTGCTAGCATTTTTTATGAAATAAACCGAGCTAACAAGGAAATACAAGGAAAACGGAGATGGTGCAGGGATGGCCACAAGCATAGCCTCATCTGCAGTGGGTAAGGGGCAAACACGGAGATTGAAACCCGACAGTGTTGAGGGGGTGCCTCCATGTAAGTGTAGGAAATGGCCCACGCACAAGTACAAACCTCTAGCGTTATATACGAATATGTGTAGACACATAGGGCAGAATGGGTGGACAAACAAGCATAGGTGGCCTGCAAACTGGTGAGGAAATAGGAGGCCTACCACATGGGCTAGACTGTGCGCTGTGCGGAGGCTGGGATGGTAATGCGGGCACGCTTCAACTTTGGTGAGGGGTCTGCGTGGCAGGGGGGCAGCATGGGGTTGAAGAGAGGTGGGAACAAGGACTCACAGAGGCAGTGGTGATGGGTGTGGGGGCAGGGTAAGGGAAGAGAGGACAGGAAACAAATGAGGGGCGCTCCATTGCAAGGCTGGCAGGGGCAAGAAACGATGCATCAAAGTGGAAGCTGAGAAACATTATGACAGTGCATAGGGTTTAGGGAACATGCCTGACCGATAGGGTTGCTGCCCATAGCGGTACCACGATCACCACACGATGCCATCTCAAGGGGCGGATGCGACAACTTGTCTCCATTCCGCTAGAATGTCCGTGGTCCACTTCCAATTCATAGGCCCGAGCACCCTATCCCGCTTTCCCCGCTTGACACGCGTTGCTCGCCTAATGCGGATCACATGCTTTCGCACTAAGC